CATGATTTGGATTTTTGTATCATTGTTTGCATTGAATATTCAATTTTCTATTTCTATATCATACCAGAAGAGTACTAAGCTTGTCTTACCTTTTTGTGTGAATTTATCCACTCTGGTATAATGCCTTATTTAACTATCCATACTTAAAAACAACGTTGTTTAAAAGGGGCATTAGCTACGAGACACAGAAAAAAATAAAATATGTGATTTTTTTTTTGATAGATTATTAATGAAAGTGAAACCATTTCGTTGACTGATTCGACCCACAAAAAATCATTCTTATACAGGTAAAAACGATGATTAACTTATTTTTTAACCTATAACCTGAAATCAAGCAGATCTAGAAAAGTCCAATTGCACGAGGTCGCTATCTATTTATATTTATGTTTATGTTTATATTGGGTTATGTGACCGTCGGCAGTCTTCGGAGGTCATCTCGATGGTTAATTAGATGGTGTCTAGACTAAAATACACACAAAATGCTGATGTATATTATTGAGTCTATGCATTGTTAATTGTTTATTTCAGACTTATTGTAATTTGGATATACGTTTTAGTATTTTATAAATCAAATATGAGAATTTGAGTTAAATCGGGGAACATGAATTTAACATCGAATGCCCCTTTAAGTATGTTTAGTAACTAAGTATGGATAGTAAAACAATGGTTTTATCAGAGACAGTAAATTCACGCAATACAAGAATGAACAAGCTTAGTAGTGTTAGGAATATATGGTATGAAAATAAAAAAATAAATGTCCGCTGCAAACAACAATGAAAAATTGTGCAACTCATGTACTCAAGCGCCTGTGATCAAATATGTTCAGATATCTCAACCCTTTGCATATTAAGGTACTAATTAAATTAGAACATAAGGTACAAATTATGTTCAGATATCTCAATCCTTAAATATTATTGTCCTAGTTGTTGAACTATAAACTGAAATATTAGCATGTTCCTGTTTTGACTTGTGCTCTGATGACACAGTGATTGGTATTGCTCTTTTTCTAGACTCGGGGACGGTAGAGGCAAACATTGTCTGTGCGTGTTAAAAGTCAATACTATGATACTTTCGACTTACAGTAAATTTTAAATTTCATAAGTCAATGCTTCGTGTTTCAATTTTCAAAGATTTTTTTTCATTTATTTTGTCGAAAAAGTGAGTGTCCCCCATGCAATTTGTAGAAACAATCGACGTCTGAATGTATGTAATAAGAGTGCACAGCTAGATAAAAAGTATGCCTTTTTGGTATTTGCATATTTTTAAAACAGGGGATACAATTGTCATATTTTACGAAATAAACACAAAATCAAAGGAATTGCACAAAACTGTAAGACATAAAACAACATAATTTTACAACACCATTAAATTTCTCAATAAAAAGTACATGTAGATGTTACATGTTATTTGAGGTTTTTCATGATAAAGTTTGTAAAGTTATAATTAATTATTGGATATACAAGCGATTGTGAGTGCAATTTACATGTGGTCTTATTGATATACATGTCAGATACATGTATGCTACCTTATTAACCAGTACAAAGTAAACATAATCTGGAAAACAACTTAGATTATATAATTATAGATAAATAAAACACAAAAATGTGGATTACATTTAATGAGTAATCAAGACTCATGCTGTCTGTTGAATCATTTCGAATGTGATTGCATGATAGATGATTTGAGTATTAAATAATCCAACACATTGTGAAAAAACTACTAAAATACAATTTTTACTTTTCCTGGTGGAACGTTAACCACGGTCTCCTTATTATGTTTTTTATAATTCAAACCGGCTTATTTGGTCTTAAAAATTCATCTTTCAGGAAACGCTATTTTTTTTTTACAAACATTGCTTTTAGCAAATGGTAGATTATCAAGACCGTTCTCTCTGTCTTGTAACTGGTCAGATGGATTTTTCTTGACATAATCAAATTTATCGCCATTTGAGCTGCAGCACTTGATAGTGCTGTTGAGGCGATTTTATATTTTCAAGTTCGTTTATGATTTGTTCCGTGTTTAGTTTAAACCCTATTTTACAGTGTACATCCGAGAGAATTTGATAAAATTCAAATTTATAAATACATAATGAGATAGTCTTATATCCCTCTACCTACATATTTTTCATTACGAATTTAGAGTTAGCTGTTATATACAAATTCATCCTAGAAATGTATGGCCGTAGGATTTCACACGACATATGCCATTAGAAATTATTTGAAACATATAATGAAGGACAAATCTTTCAGGGGAAATAAAATCGTACAAGGTTTGTGTGTTTGCATTGAAATCACCTTTTAAATCACATGGTATATTGTGTTCTAATAACTGAAGAAACCTTGCGGTAAAGGCGTCTATCGACGAATATTCGAACCATCGGGTGGGATATTATCATAGTTACATAGTGTGCTAGTGACCTAATACGATATATATGGGGTCAGTTAATCCCATATGGGGTGAGAGCGAAGCTCCCGAATCCCATTGCTCTCATCACATATGGGATTTACTGACCATATATATCGTATTAGGTCACTAGCACACTGTGTAACAAGTTTATCTTACCGACTATCTTAACATATGGCATTTAGACTAGTGGCCTATCAAAGTGATCAAGTCTTCAATATTAGGAAACTACTACCATTGATCTATACAAAAACAAATGCCAACAATAACAACTTGTTAGCTTTTAATGTGTTTTCTGTATTTTTTTCGATCGTTCATCATCAATTTCTTCAGATTTTTCCTCAACACCGTTTTGTTTTTTCAAAAGGACGTATAAACACCACTACTAACCGTGTATTGAAATAGACCACGCCTACTAACCCCATATGAAACATACACAGTCTCCACGCGGTTGCTTTTAACCAATCATATTCCTAGAGATGTATAAGGTAAGATAAATATACACATCCCAGTAAAATTCGTATTTTAATAGGATTTAACCCTTTGCACAAATTGTTTTGTGAAATTTCTAATGCTTTTCCAGATTTAACTTATAGATTACAAGTATATCGCCATATTTTCTTTTTAAATTAGTCTATGTTTACAAAAATAACTGTATCCTTGTGGAATGATCATGGTCCATCAGTTTTATAGGTTCAACGAATATAGAAATATTCCTCAAGCCTTGACCGAAGGAAAACTTTAGTTCAAGCAATCGTTTGAGAAAGTTCAAATAAATTAATTTGTTATCGATGGTGATGAAGAATCATTATTGAATTTTCGATTTTAGAATGACACAAGTACAAAAGTAAACAGATTTGTTTTCATTTTTCATTATAAAGTCTTGATTTAATTATTTCATAAATGTCTTTTTTGATAAAATAGAGGTAGTTACAAAATTAAAAATAGGTAGTTTACGATCAAAATGTCTCAATAAATATAATTATGACGTCACGGAAATTCAAATTCATAGCGAATTGTATTGCCGATTTAAGTCCTGCATATATAGAGAACACATGTATATAAGCTAGAACACCAATTAAATAACTTACAACAATGAAGTTTTTTCTATATCATAAGCAGCACGTCTCTGTAAATAATTCTTTATTACTCGCACGCGTAAATATTGTTTGGTCCTGCATGCATGTGCTCATTTTTTTCACCTCACAAAGATAATGATATAACATAATGTAGTTATTGCAGTTTTTATGGAAAATCAAACTATACTATCTTTCGATCATAAAACATTCATGAATATTCAAAATATTGGAAAGACATAACGGTTTAAACTTTGCACATACTTCTCAATTACTTATATGCAAAAATACCGGATTTTGTAATTTGTTTATTTTTAGACAAACATGATACGCGCCTCTTCCTTTTCCTCTGTCGACGTAAACACACAATGATACAATTATAATAACAGCACATTGTTTAAGTTTAGTGCGCATCATCAGACACTTTTTTTATGATTGTATTATAAACAAACAAACAAACAAAGAAAAAACATTATTAAGTATTATATCTCTGGCATAATAGATTATAATACATGAACGTATTTCGGGAAAAATTTGGGAGCAATATGAAATTCAACAGCATTGAAGAGGGTCCTGTTGACAGGGGATATGCTCATTTCCCAAACCCCAGTTTTTCCGATTTTTACCACTTCCAACTTGTTTTCCTCTTTTTTTCAAATATCCTTTTATTTACCCCTATATCTCACATCCCCACTTTTTTATACCCTATATCACACATTCTCACTTTCTTTACCCCCTATATCCCACATCCTAAAAGCGTGTCAACCTCCGTTAGTCCCTTGATTACAACTTCTGGTTAGAGTTTGTTTTGACGGTGGTATGGCATACATCGTTCGTCTTTTTTTTTTTCTTTTTTTAAGGGGGGGGGGGGAGGGGCGGTGTTGGCGCATTGGTTGTTTTTAAACAGATTGTTTGAAATTGAAATAATTTGTTTCTAAAGGGTATTGAAAAAAATTGTTTGTTTCTGAAAGAAAAAGAAAATCAAAAACAAAAAATTTCTCGTTCCTGGATGTTATTAAAAATCATTTGTTTTCAAAAAAATATATTGTGTTCAGAAAAAATTAATTCAAACAATTCTGTTTATCGTGACTGACAAAGTTAATAAATATCTGTCAAGTCTTGTCTCTTGTGTCAAAAGTAAGAAAAATCGTCGTATTTATAGGTGCGATGGTTTTACATATTTGGCAAAAACTGTGGGAGTCTAAGAAATACTAAGCACTGACAGACGACGGACAATACTATTGAACTAGCTGAACCAGTTAACTTGGACTAACCTAAAATAAACCATTTTGTACATGTTGTCATAAACCATTAAACAATTATATATATATATATTTTTTTTTAGATAGCAGACAATATAGATATTATCTTATAGATATTATTTCATACTTAATACACTAATGTTACAAACATTTCAATATTATAACAAAGTAAGGAAAACATCTTGTTATATTGATCAATCAACGTTTTATGAAATGACCTTGTGAACTCATATATTTAAATATAACCCACGTGGTTACACTTTCATTCATAACTTCGTGGAAAATTGCGAAAATCTTCCATGACGCACAGCATAAGTGGAATGTATGGACTAATTATACACAGCTTCCACATGTAAATTCAGAAAGAATCTGTTAGCTCGAGGTTTAACAATCACATATTCTTTTGTTAAGAATTGATGTGAAGACAAATAAAAGTTAGCCGAGTTTATATATCTATATTTCTTGTATCATTATATATAATAATAACTGATGAAAAACATGCCTAAGTCATTTGAGAACGGGTACGAGAAAGGGACATGTTTGGATAATGGAGTTGTAGACGGTGGAGAAAATCCTTATATTTTTCCAGAGGTCCAAGTTGTCGAAGTTGTAAGTAATATTTATTGATATCACGGCAAATAATAAGGGTTTAATTTTAAAATCCGGAAATATGAGCATGCTGAAAAGTCTTTATATTTGCTATATTTTTGCTATTTATTGTCGGGAGGACCAATTTCAAGCAATATTAAATATTAGAGGGTATACGTGTTTACAAGAACTTGGTAAATTGATTCGTGCATAATGTTAAAGTTTTGGCGGTTATTTCCGCGTTCTTTTGGTTAGATTCACCTTAGTACTCAGTGCATATTTAAATCTTTCATTTGAATTTAAATCTTTCATTTGAATTTAAATATTTATTTTTCATCTTCGCCTTATAAAATTAAAATAAAAAATTGACGGTGAGTCCGACATGCTTTTCTGAATTAAAGGCTTTAAGTAAGTCAATCACAGAAAAACCGTAAAAAATATTCAAATTTCCGTGTATGAACTATTATCATCTTTTCGATCTGTATACAACATATGTTACAAATAGTAAAATGACCTTCATATTGTTTATGGTTTCATTGTTACAATTATTCAACAGGAAAAAAAAAGAGATTAAAGGTCAGTGTTATTTTACTTCAAATTGTTTTTCATTCTAAGAGATTAAGTGTCCTTTATATTCCGGAAGACAATCTTCAAATATTTGTGATTATGTCAGGTTTCCGTAAGAAAAAAAGTAGTTGTTTTTCCTTCACCAATTCGTTGAGGCAAACTATCATGGAAAAAATATGCTATTTGTTTGCTTTTGCTTACTTTAAGGTAGCTACATAACCCGTGGGTTGGCGCGGAACGATCCAGATTAACATCTTTGATTAATGGCCAAACACAACATTTACAAATCGAATTTCCATGCAGCAGACGTTTTTAGAAACTAAAGTAGTTAGTTGCCATAGAAACAATTCAGATTGGCAAAATTCCGCTGTCAGACATTCATATGTTAATCGATAATAACCTCTGCAGCATTACATGTGCACAATAAATCAAGCATACAACTAAACTAACTGACTATGGAACATAAAGATATTCAAAGATATCTTTATTTTAATTAAACGGTCTGTGATGAGCAAAGTAGTTTAGTACCATGATTCTTTTGTGGGTTTCAATCGTTTTTACACATCGTTAGATATTAAGATAAACATTAATCAGTGTAAAAAAGTGTAAAATAGTTACAAAATAACAAAAATAAACAATACACAATACAAATAGGTAGCATTGGCAAAAACGTTTTGAATGTGTTTCTTTTTTTTTATGCGTGGCAACATCATATTATGTGTATTTCTGTATGTGGTAATTGTCCAAGTATTTTATTTCAATATTTGAAACAAAATTTTAACAATTGAAAATGTAATATTGATATTCTGACTAATAGCAATGGTGTGAAAAATTTCCACTTCTGACCTTGGTATCAATAGATATAAATACCGGTTCATCGATTTAAAAAAACTCAAGGTTCAACTGGTGGCGCTCTTTATTGAATAAAGTTGTGAAAATCCATTCATAACAGTTTTAGGAGTAAAAGTTTAATATCGTGATATAGCAAGAGTTTTAAATTCAAATCATCTTCTTATTTCAGTTTGTGATTTTAAATCATTCAAAATTTAAATGTTAAGAGGTACAAACAGTTTACGTTTCAATGATCTACATGTAAACATAAACAATCTGTCTAGATATTTATTATACACGTTCTGAAACCGGCAAACGGAAATACTTCATTAAATTGCGATAAAGATTATAAATCACAAAATCGACATAGAACAACAATATCTTCTCCCGCTTAAACCTTCCTTTGTAATCATAATGCCTTAAAGATCTATAACACTCGACAAAATGTGTCCGTGTGTGTTCTACAACCACAGGGGATTAGGGGCTCGTGGGAGATGAAGGGGGTCACGGCATTCAAGCTGATTTTTTTTTACATTTTACAGCTTTAACCGTATACTGGAAGTTCATTAAAAATTGCCTCAACATGAACTTACTCCAAACCTTTCCCTTTTTGAGGTGAAAAAAAGTTCACGACAGGATAAAAACATGAGATTTAGTGTATAAGTAGTAACGTCCTTGAATAGCGTTTATGCGTCACTACTCAAAAATTGTTCATCATTAACATAAATTTTTTTTTTTTACTTTTGGATGCAGAAAGAAATTAACGGAGCAAATGGTGATAGTCAGTATGAAACAAACAGCCAAGAAAGTGACGAAAGCGGAAGTAACGACATCTCATCCGATTTAAACGAGAAACCAAGAGCAGCATGGGGTGGACAGATGGAATTTATCCTGACTATGGTTGGGTATGCAGTCGGATTAGGGAATGTGTGGAGATTTCCGTATCTTTGTTACAAAAATGGCGGAGGTACATGATTATACTAGTATATAATTCAAACAAATGAATTGTTACCTAAAAGACCCCCCCCCCCCCCCCCCCCCCCCGTAAAGTCTATAGACACATAAAAAAAGAGGATAAAACGAAACATAACCCTATCTAATACAAGAAAGGGACAAATAAAATGTATTATTTTGCATTTTAAAAGTTCAAAATATATCAATCGGATTTCTGTTTGCTTCAGTTTCTTTCAAATATATGTTCGTCTTCCTTGAAGGACATAATAGAATTATATCGTATTTCTTTTTCCTTGACAAATTTCGAACAAGAATTTACAAATTTAACATATATAAAAAAATACTTATAAAACACTTCAATAAGGACTTCCTTATATGAATTAGATAGTCACAAGAGGTTCCATGATGATATATTTTATGTTCCGGCTTGTTTAGGTTGCACCTTACTTTGTGGGGCAAACTGTTGAAATAAAGATACAAATATGCCCTTCAAGATATGGAACCTTTTCGTTTTGTTGTGTTTTTGAGGCTGTCTTATTGACGTATGTCTCATATCTCCCCTTTTTCTATTTATAGATCGACAGAAAACATTCTGAAATTATAATTTGTACAATTCCATTGTAGGTGCTTTTTTGTTACCATACACGCTGATGTTAGCAGCAGTTGGCTTGCCGTTATTTTATATGGAAGTTGGAATCGGACAGTTTGCTAGTCTTGGACCATTGAGCATGTGGAAGATGAATCCACTTTTGAAAGGTAAGGGACACTGTTTTTTTTTGTTTGTTTTCAGTGTCAAAATAAATGGATGGTTGTATACAGCTTTCTTGTTATTGTCATCTGAATACTGACGAATTTACTTAGTTTAACATGTTAAAAAGTTGCCATTCAGCCTGTTCCTAGTCCAATTACAACGAAAGGAACAGCTTATTAATCAAATCAGTAAATTGGAAGAATAAAAATAAATGTTTTGTAATTTTAGTAATATTATAATTGTTCCGCTTGTTGTGTACATGCAAAAAAAAGATTTCCATGTCTTGGTTTTGCCATGGTGATAGTGTCCTTGTTGTTGTCTACATGTAAATATTTTTTCCAGGTCTTGGTTATGCTATGGTGATAGTGTACTGGTTGTTTACATGTAAATTATTATTTTCCAGGTCTTGGTTATGCTATGGTAATAATGTCCTGGTTGTTTGTTGTTTACATGTAAATTATTATTTTCCATGTCTTGGTTATGCTATGGTGATAGTGTCCTGGTTGTTTGATGTTTACATGTAAATTATTATTTTTCAGGTCTTGGTTATGCTATGGTGATAGTTTCCTGGTTGATAGGATTGTATTACAACGTTGTCATATCACATGTGCTGTATTTCTTATACGCATCATTTACAACAGAGCTGCCATGGGCCTCCTGTGGCAACGACTGGAACACACTAAACTGTCGTGACGCCGACGCTAAAACAGTAGCCAATAGTAAGTTCTCAATTTCATGCGTGTGGGTCTTTAATATAGACGGTCTCATTCCGAGGAATCAACCCTTTTTGCATGTTTTTTTTTTCCAAAACTACCGGTTATATTATAATGCTTTTCGCTTCCCTAGGTTGAATATTAATAATAAAAATATCTGCATGTGTAAAAATATAAAAAGTAAAAAGAATAAGGTAAATGCAAGGGTTCCCTCATAATGAGACCTTCCATATGAAAATATTGAACTGAGCTATATTTATATTACATTCTCTATATCTACATTTAAGAGTGATATTTACAAATGTCCCATGTGTATGTGTTTGTGTGTGTGAAAATTACTAACATATTTGAGGTGGATCTAGGGGCTGCAATTAAATGAAAGATTTTTAAAAATTCAACAAATAAGATAGTGTGAGTATATTTATAATAAATATATAAATACATCCATTATCAAGCATTTGTCTTTATGAACAAAATACAAAATCTGGATCCATTTCTAAACTGTCACATATCACTAAAGGGACATTTTATAATTATTATGAAAATGATTCTGACCAGTTTATGTTTCCTTTTGTTACAGACACGTTTAGTAATTCAACAACGGGTGTACCCGCAGCCATGTCTCTGCACACCAACACTACCCGGACTCCAAGTGAGGAATTCTATAGGTGAGACGAATGAACAATATATTAGATGATGATATTCGTCTCCTTCTAACCGGTCGTCAATGGCAATTAGTGATGAGCTTCTACGATAGAAATCGAAAGAATCTGCTTTGTCTGATGCTTTAATAATATGTTTCATTGCAGAACAGTAGAGTTCCTGATGAAAGCATATTCTTTACGATAGTTTTATCGAAAAGTTCAGTTGCAATTGGCTTTGTATACAAAAAAAATGAGAAAAGATTTAGTTTAGATACTTTGTTTTTAAATTTCTAATAATCTGCAATTTTATATATATTAAAATTATTTTCAAAAAATGAGAAAAAAGTATACAAAGACCGATCCATGCAGGAGACGAAACATGCATTTAACCATTTATTTTTTTCTTTGAAGGAACAGAATTGGTTATAACTCACAGAAATTTTATAAGTTATTCGTTATTTTAGGTATCATGTTTTACAACAGACCGATTCAATAGACGACTTCGGTACTATACAATGGCATTTGGCCCTGACCTTGTTCATAGCCTGGGTAATAGTTTTCCTGGTGCTACTTAAAGGAATTAAAACTCTTGGAAAGGTAAGTACCGGTATTTAGCTGCATAGTTCTGTATGGTGTGACGTATCATTCCGAGTGAATATAAGGAGATGTAAGGTATATATCAACTAGACAGCAACCAAAGTAGTACTTTATAAAACCTCTTGATAAAGGGGGAGGGTTAACCTTGATAAAGATATTTTTAGCCTTATAATTGCCGATTTTCAAGGGAAATTAAAAAACATTTTCTAAAGAAATGAAGGGTTTCGACCTTACACCCGCCAATGGATACTCATTTTTGATAAACGATTGAATAAAGTCATGTCGAGTACAGAGTGGATATTTCAGGTCTTTTATTAAAAACTATTTATAATAGAAGCGGGAAATGAATTATTCAAAGAACATAAAAAGATTTAAGGTAGAATAGATGTTACAAAGTCATTGTAGAAAACTATGCGATAGTATAAACATTTAGCTATAGTCTACTGACACTGGAACCCATCTTAACTTGCATATTACTTTTTTAGGTCGTATATTTTACTGCAATTTTCCCATATGTCATGTTGACAGTACTCTTCATCCGTGGAGTAACTTTACCAGGGGCATCAGTCGGAATAGAGTATTACCTGAAACCAAACTTCGAACGTCTGCTGGATCCACACGTATGGAGTGACGCAGCAACCCAGATTTTTTACTCCCTTAGTGCATGTACTGGTGGTCTGATTGCTATGTCAAGCTACAACAAGTTCAACAATAACTGTTTTAGGGACTCTCTCATCGTATGTTTTGTGAACTGTGGTACCAGTGTGTTTGCCGGTCTAGTCATATTCTCGGTTCTGGGATTCATGGCAACAGAAAAAGGCGTAGATGTTAGTAAAGTTGCAGATGGCGGTAAGTCAGCATATTTTAAGGCGTAATAAAAACATTATCAAAGATTCTTGTCTTTTTATTTTAGTTTTTCTAATTAAGATATGCATGGAAATAATTAAATCTACTTTTCATCATGGAATATTGATTTGTGATTTCTTCAGTATTAACAATTGTAATAACTTTTCATTACATAAGGAAAATCAATAGACCTAATGGTAATACAGACAAAATCGATTTGGCATGTGTCATGTTGTAATCATGGTTTCTAAGTTTCAGTTTATTGACAATCTACGTCAAAAGACGATTTAGGTGTTCAAAGTCCTTTTTATTCATGAGAAACAGACGTGCCTCGCCTACTTATGTGAGAAAACACAACTGTTATTTACTCTACAGAGATTGTTGTTATTGACCTGCTATTGTTTACTTTGTAGGTCCAGGTCTTGCCTTTGTTGTTTACCCGGAAGCATTATCACGTATGCCAATCGCTCCAATGTGGTCCGTGTTCTTCTTTATCATGATGGCCACTTTAGGATTTGGTTCTGAGGTGAGACTACAACTTTGTTATTGTAAATAACTTTCACTATCAACTTTAGAATTAAAGTTATCTCCTCGTTTCAATGATTAACATATCATAACTGATCCGTATTAGTGTGAGCAAAACGAGACGGTTTAACTGTCAATTAAACAGCTATCAATATCAGACACACACACACATATATATATATATAAATAAAAGTCAAATAGAATCCGTATGCTGGTAACATATAAGGAAAATAATATAAGATAATGACGGTTTCAATTCATCAAATAATATAAGATAATGACGGTTTCAATTCATCTAATTGAATTGAAACCGTCATTATCTTATATTATTTTTCTCATATATATATATAAAGAATAGCTGAAAAAGATATAGAAATCAACTTGAGAATAAATATTTAAAAAAAAAACAACAGAATAGTAGCGAGGCAAATCAAATTCTGAATGAAGGAACACCTGACGTTACACATATTTTGCTTCAATTAATCTTTATTTGTGTTGGCCGGAAAAACCTATAGTACGTTTGTAGTAGGAGATTTAAAAGCAACAGATGCAAAATATTAAAGACTTATATTTCACAACTGCTGCATGATGCAAGCTTCTTTTATCTTTGATCATACAAGTTCGTCATTATTTCATGAAAGAAAGTATTTACCATTTAATATGTAATTAATAACATAAGTTGACCTCACTAAACTTCACTTTCATTTTTTCCAGTTTTCCTACGTGGAGACGTTTTTATGTGCTATTGGTGACGAGTTTCCTCAATTTCTACGAATAAGAAAAAACAACATTATATTCAGAGCTGTCATGCTTGGAAGCGCTTTCCTCCTTGGTTTACCGATGGTCTGTAATGTAAGTATATTACAAAATCATTGAATATTTCACATCTTATTTTTTATAGCTTATAGACAGATATTCAACCAAAGCTATTATTGCTTTATGTCCAGTAGAAAATTGAATGGCATATTCAGGACAAGATAGAATAAATAAATAGATTAGGTATAGTTACTAGCAAGTAGGTTGGACGGGAGGACAATCATACAAATGTTCCTGTCACTTTAAAATGATAGCATGATGGATGGGTACGTACACAAAGTTTGTTTTAGTAGGCTTCATACGGGCCCCTCAAAGTACTAAGTGAAAGGGACCATCGTCGTGCCGAAAGCTCGACACTGGACACTATCAAAACACGGTGCGTCGGACATAAACATAATGTCACTCACTCATTTGGTTAAAATACACTGTCATCGATATATTAAAAATTGAAAAAGCAGTCAAAAATTTCTTAGTGTTTATTTCTTTTGTAGTTCCTAGTTATATTTGATCAACTCTTATACAAACTAAAGTAGATCTTTTTAAGTGATAGTTTTGCAAAACTATTCACAATATACAAAGAACAAGATTAAAAATGAGATAAAAGCACAAGCACTTGTCTCTGAGAAAAATACCTTTATACCTTTCTATGGCACGTAAAGGTATATAGGTTTTTTATTCGGAGACTAGTATTACATTGGTATTAAAACTACATTAATTGCGTCTATATTTTTTTTTATTACAGGGTGGTATCTACCTGCTGAACATTGTAGACTTTAGTGTTGGTGGGTTCCCACTGCTTGTTGTTGGGTTACTTGAACTTGTTGGAATAAGTTGGATTTATGGTAAGTTACGAAATTTGTTATGTTTTCCTTTTTTTTTAAATAGATATAAGAAGATGTGGTATGAGTGCCAATGAGACAACTCTCCATCCAAGTCAAAATTTATAAAAGTAAACCATTATAGGTCAAAGTACGGTCTTCAACACGGAGCCTTGGCTCACACCGAACAGTAAGCTATACGGGCCCCAAAAATTACTAGTGTAAAACCATTCAAACGGGAAAACCAACGGTCAAATCTATATAAAAAACGAGAAACACTTATGAACCACATCAACAAACGACAACTACTGAACATCAGATTTACATGGTAATTTTGGAGGTTTGAAAAAGAAATCATTTCGACCATTTACTAATATCAGAGATACAAAACGTATCTAGGTTATTAAACTAAAAAACATATAAAGGGGAAGAAGATTCCAAGGGTAAAATCACAAGTCAAAGAAAAACTGACAACACTATTACCAAAAAAGATGAACAGACAAATAATCGTCCACAAAACGCTACATTGAAAACTAAAGATTGAGCAACACGAACCCCAGCAAAACAGGGGGTGTGATCAGGTGTTCCAGAAGAGTAGCTTACAACAGAGACGTATAAAATATATTTGTTGGTCTCTCATTACAAGAAAGTAGAGATAAAAAAATTAGCCAATACCAGAATTAGGAAAATCACTTATTTTAAGACAAAATAATATGTTTTGAAGTTTTAACTTAACCGCTCATTCTTAAATCTTATATAAATTATACAACCGTTTAAAAGAATCACACTATTGATATGATTTCTTTATTTCCAGGTATGGATACATTTTCTGAAAATATACATATGATGATTGGTTCAAAACCAGGAAAATATTGGATAATCTGTTGGAAGTTTTTATCTCCATTCATTATTGCTGTAAGTATAGTTGTGTTGTTTGGTTGCCGTCTAATTGATTTGTACCCCCAGGTCTCCTTATATTCATTTTAATTTAAATAGTTCGTGTCATATCAGTATTGTGTTTCAAATCAATGCTATTTATATGAATGACGATATGGTAGATTACAACTCTTATGCTCCAGGAAATATTTTTATTAAGTTATATGCCATTGAGTCTTGAGATGATAATAATACAATTCGTGGAAGCTTATCTGTATTGATTACTTCAATTTTATTTTTCTGTATGAATATTCATCATTTATTGATCTGAATTGGGACATAATATTGTTAGTATAATAGTCCCAGATCTGAGAATTATTAGAAAAAATTCTGTGGTTTTCCCATTTCGTGATAACAAAGATAAATTTACTTTATCAATCAACCAAAATAAAATTTATAAAATTCATATTATCTATTTACTTTATCAATCAACCAAAATAAAATTTATAAAATTCATATTATCTATGTGTTTCCAGGTCACAATTATCCTGAATATTGCCATGTACAAAGAACCAACTTTGGATGACAAAAAGTATCCTGCCTGGGCTAACAGTCTGGCATGGTTGATTTCAATGTTTCCTATTGTAGCCATTCCTGCATGGTTCTTGTATAAGTACTGTACTGTTGGAGGATTTGAGGTAATTTTAAGTTCTGTTACTTGACATATTACATGCAAATATTTATACCTTTTGATGTTATAAAAGTAAACATATTCTGTTTAATGGGAAATCTAATATAAGAAAAGTGTTAAATCGGGTAAAAAAAATTAATATAAAAAAAAGTTATATGGTTATTTTTTTATCAAATTGCATGGAACTATGACAATTGTATGCAAACAGTTAAATTTTAATTATTTAAAAAGCCTCGGCAAGCCTCGCGCTTTAAATATTAAAATTTAACTGTCTCGGGTGGAGAAATATCGTAACACACTTGTTGCAGTGATGAAATCTATATTTCTTTCTTTCAGGTATTAAAAGAAAATATGAAACCGTTGCCATCATTTGGACCTATAAAAGAAAAACAATATGCAGAAATGGAAGCAGAAATTAAATGTCGTTTTAATCCATCCTTTACCAGATTAATGGGTAGCCAGATGTCAAATACAACGTCAGTTACAGAATTTTCTCCACAGTCATCGACTTTGAATCTTATAAAATCCAGATCCTCAGGTGAATCAAACGTTTGAAATCGCCGTCTATTTGACGCATTTACTCATCGAAAACATCAATCAAAAAATGGACAGAAAGCTGTCTAAAGATAAAAGGGAATAAAGGCATCGGCAGTACCTGTAAGGAGAAAATGAATGCAAAAGTGTACCCAAAGATGACGAAAGCATGTTCCGCCAAAGGACAATTTGAACTACATATTCAATGATATCGTTATCTCACGAGACGAGTACCGTGACTGTGCGAACTTATCTGTTATTTGTCTCTCACGATCTCTGTGTTGTGCTGCATTCACTAGATTGTAAAACAATTAGTACATGACTTTTTCCCTCTCTCTCTCTCTCTACCTTGTCTGTCCCCAACTATTTATCTTTTGATAGAAAATATTAATATCATTTAACATTAATGGGGCATTAGTGGCCAAATTCATGTCAAACCGAATTGATATAAAACTCTCAAATATGATTTCTGCCGTACTAAAACGTATATCAATATCCCAAAAGTCCTTTAAGAAACAGTAAACAATGCATGGAATTGTTATAACGTAATTCAATATTACATTCTTGTAATTGTTTGAAGCAAAAAAAACATACATGTAGTTTAATTATTTCAAAATCGTAGCTACTGCCCCTTTGATACGAATGATAATGAAAAATAACTGGTTATAAGGCATTACAAATTGTATGAGACTTAGTTATGTATTTGCTATATATTGTGTGATATTCTCCTTGCACAAAAAATCAATAGGTTGATTAAATATATCGAACGAGACAATACAGAAAATAATTATGTTATCTGTAGCTATTGAACAGTTCATACAATATCCGTACTGAAAGTGTTTTTTATATTATTGCTCAACAATTCGGAAAGATTGTTTTCTTGAAACCTAGTGAATTGCGGTGCAGTTGTTTTTGTTGATTTGAATAAATTATTTTAAACAAATTTGTTTTATTTGTTATTGAATATTAGAATCAACGAACATTAATCAAAATTTGGCATTTTGTGAATTTTCCTTGCAAAACATGTCTCCCTCTCCAAGTTATAATTCAATGGAAGAGCATAGCTCGGTGCACAAATTACTATGCTATACGGTATGGGTTTTGTCCATTGTTGAAGGCCGTACGGTGACATATATATTTGCCAACATCTACGTCATTTGGTCTCTGCAGATGGATAGTTGTCTCATTGGCAATAATATCGGCCACATCTCTTTATTTCATATGTCACTTTGTAAATAGAATTTGTGCAATTTCAGCCCTGGAGATTTAAATCTAGGATATGTAGAAAGTCTATGGGCTGCATTATAACCCCCTTTTCGCTATGGAAGTGCTATGATATGATGGTTATACTAATGTCATAGGTTATTGATAACTACATTTATTGTTGATGTGCGTGCAGTTACGCTCAACATTGTATCTATTGAACTTTCGCGTTCCTGATAACGGTACAGAAAAGTGCTTCGGGCGCACCTTACTTTTAAAGTGTCATTATCATTCTTCGGGCGCACCTTACTTTTAAAGTGTCATTATCATTCTTCGGGCGCACCTTACTTTTAAAGTGTCATTATCATTCTTCGGGCGCACCTTACTTTTAAAGTGTCATTATCATTCTCATACCAAAGTGCTTTTCTTGATACACCATCATCAGGAACGCTCAAACACAATCATCTGATACCAATAATATATAAATACGTAGAATCGTAAAGCTTTATAACCTGAATAGACACAAATAGAAGATGCGAATAGCTCTTACCTTCTTGCAAAACTAATTTGATGTATACGAAAAACGCCGAAAATTTCAATGATAAAAAAAACTAAGGAGCTGCAACAGTACACTTTATTATAAAGAATTTATCGGTGCATTGTTGAATGGATTATGAGGGGCTGTCAATAAGATTTAACTACCCTTATTTTGTTGGATTTTTATCATGTAAAATCCTAGAAATCTGAATAATTACAGTATGCTTGTAAAAGACATTTTTACAATGTTGAACATTACTTTTAGCTCGGTTATCTTCTTTATAGAAGTTTCAGTAGAGCTTCGAATAAAAAAATCAAGCAAACACATGAACCACGCAAACACGCCTTTTTGACAATGAGAACCCTTATAAATATATAAGTTCAAGTTCAAAAGATTCTAATTATTGGTAAATAATATCTAATTATAATTGACTTCTTATGAGTTTACAAAAACGGTTGCCTGGCAAGGAAAGTTGATAATGATGCAGTATGATGATGATACCAGTAATCACGTGATGACTGCCGTGAGATAATCTTACTAAGACTGAATGTAATGATAAGAGCAGCGCATGTGTATGACTCGCCGAGCGGCATCTTTTGTGGTTACCAAATGATAAAAGGGATAAATAAGTCTTCTTTGTACAACAATACCGAGAAACATAATTCTGCTCGGAATACATACATTTGATGACGTGGTATCACGTTTCTCTTAGGACTTAAAGCATGTAAAGAGAAGAAAAGCGCAAAAAAATATATATTGAAGCTCACAAATTCAGTACAATAATCAAAGCTGCTCCGATGCGCCTTTGTAGCAAAAACTCATTCAAAATTCAAAGATGACAAATTACAAAAAAGATATTCTACTTTATCAGTTTTAAAAGTAGTATATCTGATGCACCGTGAAGGGAGAGTACCACGGGCTCTACGCGTTATAGAACACTTGCAACAAAAGTAAGAGTTCGTTTTTGGTCTGTTGCAAAGTTCTGTCCCTATCCAACGTACCCCCATTTTTAGAAGTAGTCCAAATTTCCCACCCTTTGCCCTCGTCGACATACCTTGAAGAACCTATATATACCTATTGAATTAATCTCGTCCGAATGTGGATGAACTATTTGCCACTGGACGTAAAGCAAGCAATAACCAATCATATTCCAAATAATATGTGAATTTCAATAAGTTAGTATTTATTAATATTGTTGATTGAATATTGTTAAGGATTTGTGATTCGTTAAAACTTGATCACATGTACATTTTTTTTACTCAGTTTGCACGCCAATACTGTTGTGTTTAGCTTTTCGTAGGTCAAAAACAGCATATTGCACAGGGCATACAGCACGTTACTAAGATACATTCTAGAAACCCCAAATTTTACATTATTCATGCAATAGTTGTTGATTAATAATATAACAATTGTAGCCTTTGGTTGAGGTCAATACGATGTTATATCGACCTCGGATTTCGTCTTCAGTCAATATGCTACTCTTAGTTCGATATAACCTCGTATCCACCTCATACAAAGGCTACAATTGTATAGTGTTATTTGTGTTGTTATATCATCGATCTCTAATTGGTCAGTGATGTCAGATTTCGGACAATTGATCGTTAATTGGTCAGTTCCGGTCTACCTTTGAACGAAGATTTATTTGAGAGGGTTCTCAATACTGAAATGCGATAACGATCGGCATGTTACTTTATATATTTACTCGCTTTTTCTATGGTTCTTAGATAGATTAGTCCAATTAATAAATAAAACATCTGGTAGTGAATTTGTGTTGTAAACCGGATGATGTACTTAGGTCTTTAAATATTGAAATTGAACACACGTCGGAAATACGAATTATAAAGTGGATAATTTATTGACTAGTTGTTACGATATTTGCATAATTCATTGAAATTAGATAAAACTGTTTTAGTTGAATATTACAATAGAAGGATTGCCACCAGGACTTACAAAATGGAAATGAAAATACATGCAACATTCATTAATATGCAACTAACATAAAATATAGAATGCCAGAGGAGGTAATAGCAATGTTAAACACAAAAAGTTGAGGAAAAATGTATACGAAGTAAATGTTGTAAAGTCAGTTAATTGGCTGTCAGTGGTACTTAATTCAAGGTGTAATTTCCATGAACTTTTATCTAGACGCTTATGACAGCTCTTTGTAGGTGTAATTTCTATGATCTTTTATCTAGACGCTTATGACAGCTCTTTGTAGGTGTAATTTCTGTGATCTTTTATCTAGACGGTTATGACAGCTCTTTGTAGGTGTAATTTCTATGATATTTTATCTAGACGGTTATGACAGCTCTTTGTAGGTGTGTATGCTCCAAACTTAATCATAATGTCTGTTATTGTAGACGATTTTGTTCCAGCAAAATAATGACAGTTACTTTTATATGAATTACTAATCATATTAATATTGTATTGTCTGTAGCTGTTACTTAATATTGATATGCTTGATTCTGTTAAATATGCTTACTGGAGGTGTGATGAGATGATTGAAGATTTTAATTTTCACCTTGATAACATTTATGTACGTTTCGACAATAAAGTTATTGACAGGTTGTAGGTATTCATATGGGCACCAATTGCACCCCTTTAATAGCAGACTTTTTCTTGTACTGTTATGAATCGCAGTTTATGATCAAACTCAGTAAAGACCCGTTGTTAATTTTCCTTTTTTTGACGGTGGTGATCCTTTGACACCATCTTACGGTGTTTATATATCACAACCCGTTCGCTGTGCCCTTGTCTAGTGTGAATTTATCTATGTATTACTGGTAAGTCAAGGATTTCGTTACCACAAATTACTAAAATCCTTCATTTAATTCTTTCATAGATACAAAAATTTGGTTTGGTCGTTTGGCTGTACCTGTAGAAAACTTATTTCAAACGGGATAGCATATCCTATTTTTTTACGGAGATGTTGTTCACCGAGCCCGGGAATTTAGATACGATCCGGGTAAACTTGTCGATCCTTTAGATAAACTTATTATAAACGGTTACCAATGCAATACTGTAATTAGATCTTTGAATATTGTTTTTATTGGTATAAATATTGATTTTGTTATCAGTAAATTAAAATCAAACTAAATATTATTTTTATATATAAATATAAATATGCACATTCATGGCTCTACAATCTGTCGATACCTGTATCTTGGCATTGCATAAGGTCATGTTTCATCCATTGGATGTTGGATGTGTACTGATTGATATTTTAGTCTTAGATGCATGATTTTTTTATTAGTTGTTATTGGCTTTGAACAAGCTGTCAGATCGGGGGTTGGCGCTAACGGACTAGTTTAACCCCGCCACATTCTGTATGCGTCTGTCCCAAGTCAGCATCCTGTAATTCAGTGGTTGTCGTTTGTTGCTGTATACCATATTTGTTTTTTCGTTAATTGTTTTGTACATAAATCAGGCCGTTAGTTTTCTCGTTTGAATTGTTTCACATTTGTCATTTCGGGGTCTTTTATAGCTGACTATGGGGTTTGGTTTGCTCATTGCTGAAAGTCGCACGGTGACCTATAGTTGTATAGTCTATGTCATTTGGTCTCTGGAGGAGAGTTATCTCGTTGTATATAATATATATGTTATGTATGTGGCGAGACTTTAATAAACTATTGAATCTGAATCTGAATCTCATTGGCAATCATACCACATTTTCTTATTTTTATATTGTAATGAGCCTATAATTAGGAAAATAAAAATATTAGTATTAATATATTGCTAGTTACTGAAGATTGCGTCCAAACTATAAATAGTAATGATATGAAGTTAATATACTAGAAGATAGTATCCCAACTAAAAAAAGGTATAATCAAATATACCGAACTCCCATGCAGGTAAATTCAAAAAGGGGGAAGTCCATAGAACTCGACAAAACCAAACGCTCGACTATATCCACAAAGGGAACGAATGGAAACCAACTGTTATGTTCCTACGGAAGCTAAAATTTAATCTGTTATAACAAATTATACAATTCGTGATAACAATTTAAATTCGTGATTTCGAATTCAAATTACATTTTAGGAATGTCCTAAATGGGCTTCCGTATGTATGGCAGTTGTTTATAGTTCCGCCATATTGACAAAATTGTGTGAGCAACATTAGTTAACGTTTCAATAATTGGTACCCAGCTGCCAAAATTGTGTAAACATACATGATAGATATGCAACACAATTGACTTTAAAAAT